TCTGCCGGACGTCTGTTCCTCAAAGCAGCATTTCTTGGGAAGATGCTGTCCGAATAGAACTGACTTCTTACAATTAGAATACGAAAGGAGTGGGGGGGTGATTCACACTTGTGTAGGTGGCATGGCGGGTCCCAGTTGTAAAAGTCAGGGGTGGCGGGACTTAGGAAAGCAGCTCGTCAGAACACATGCCATGAAAAATAGAGATAGAAAATTGAGAGTTTTCACCTTTGGAAAAGGTGCCGTATGGTGGAAAATAATTCATCACCCACAAGGACGCGTAGACGCTCTTCTACTCTATTGAGCCAGCCAAGTTAGGACTGTTCAGCTCTAGCTCAGAAATGACAATTATACTCCATTTTTGTTAGTGATGTGGATGCCTCTTCCGACCTCCACGAGTTCGAATTCCAAGTTGACCTTCTTCTAGATTGTTTGATAATAAAACATAGAGAGTGTTCACTAATATTTAACTCCTAGTCTGGGGAAGAGAAAAGATGGCGGCGAGCCTTTTTCTGTTATCGTTATTCTGAAGTGGCCGAGTGGTTCAAACGTAGGTTTTCTGACCACGAGACCCGGGTTCAAATCTCACCATGGTCGATTTGTCAGGAAGGTGATATTGTTGATGTTATTGGTCTGAAAAAGGCCATTTCAGCGTGTGGGTCATTTTGGAAAGTGCCTGAATACCATACATTGTGAGTGCAATTGGGTAGACGGAACCCTTGGGAGCCGTCGGGGGTTGTGCTAGCACGAAGTCACAAGTCATCGTGACTGAGGCGTTGAGCGTGCTAGCTCTGTTCAGATGGTTGATCACGCTAGATAACGCGCGCTCTCTCTCTCAGAAAATGTAACTAAGGTCCGCTCAGCATAGTTGCAGTATAAACCACAGGTGGGCTTTGTGGGTGTCGAACAAACACAAATCTGTTTAACTAGCCTCCCTAGCAGATGGGTATCCACGGATTCGAGTGACTGCTTTTAAATTAGTCTGACGATGAACGTCATAGAGCCAAGCCGAAAATTTAACTCGGTCCGCCTTTACACGCCTACACGCCACGCATAACTGCACATAAGTGTTATCTCAGCTAGTAAGACATGTAGACGTTTTTTTAAATTTTCTAGATAAAATCTGTTAAATAATTCGCTTGTATTATGTTCATCCTACTTGGCTTGGCACGTCCCATCAGTAAATAGGCGATCGTGACTCCGCAACATCCTGTTCCTTGTTGCTCTAAGCAATGTTTAATTCTACCAACCCTTTTCGTTCCCCTCTTTGCCATCATTTCACTTCAATTAATTATGAAGTTTTATCATTGTTCAATAGATTTTCAAAATTAAACTCATTTCTTTTCATCGTCTTAGAGAACCGACTGAGCTTTCCATCATCACGACTGATGCTAACCTCCATAAGAATAAAATATGGCGCCTTCTCAGTCTAAAGTTTACTACTGATATGATTATATGATTGAACTTATTTCGATTTGATATATATATATATATATATATATATATATATATATATATATATATATATATGTGTGTGTGTGATTGATTGACTGACTTGTTTTCTACAATTTATGAATCCTTTACAAGTTATTTAAAGCCAGATAATATTTTTTACACAGTAAGACTTTTGTTGTCGAGATAATAATGATTTAGTGATGTAAGTCTTAGTAAATAACCCGTTTGTAATACTGAAGTCTTACTAAATAACCCATTTCTTGGGTGGGGGACATGCCTTTCCCAAGGTAATTTCGAACTATTATCCATTACACTATCCGCGCATAACTTCAGTGTTCGTACGAGAACCGGTGTTTCAACGAAAGCCTATATATATATATATATATATATATATATATATATATATATACATACACAAGTATAGGAGTGGTATATACGGAATAAATCCTGATAACCCAAAAATATTATTCATAAAAGAGTGCTCAATACAGAGTAGAGCAAATATAATTTATTCGAAAATTATCATATAAATATGTTATAAAATAACTACAAAAATAGCCATTTTGTTTCAAAACTTCTGGTGTCTTATCAAGTGATGGTGTTTAATGGAGAATAAAGTGTTTTAATTCTACATTCAGAATAAAGGTTTTTATTCTACATTTAGAACAAAGGTTTTTATTCTACATTCAGAATAAGGGTTTTTATTCTACATTCAGAATAAAGGTTTTTATTCAACATTCAGAACAAAGGTTTTTATTCTACATTCAGAATAAGGGTTTTAATTCTACATTCAGAATAAAGGTTTTTATTCTACATTTAGAATAAAGGTTTTTATTCTAAATTCAGAATAAGAGTATATATTTTACATTCAGAAGAAGAGTTTACATTTTACATTCCGAATATATAAATTCTACATTCAGAATAAAGGGTTTTATTCTGCATTCAGAATATAGGTTTTTATACTATATTCAGAATAAGAGTTTTAATTCTACATTCAGAATTAAGGTTTTTATTCTTCATTCAGAATAAGGACTTATATTCTGCATTCAGAATACAGAATAAAGAGTTTTTATTCTATATTCAACGTCTTGATAAGACACCAGAAGTGTTGAAACAAAATGGCTATTTTTGTAGAGATTTTAAAACATATTTATCCTATAATTTTCGAATAAATTATATATGTATGTTTGTGTAATTCATCGAGTCTAGAATAATCCTAAACTATATACAGAAAGCACTGGATGGCCGCTTCGTCCTATTTTCGGACTCATCAGCAGTTCGCATCCACTACTGTGAATCGAACCCGGACACTTACGATATGACAGAAGCGGCATAACCACTGGACCAACGGTGACGAAGCGGTAACAATCTAGACTCGATATAGAACCGCTCACACTAAATTCTGTGGTGTAATTTATCCAAGTATACTTAACACACCGGATCGTGCCCCCACCCGGCGAGCCACGCCTTCTTTCCCCCAGCCGCTCTCGCCAGAGCATTAGAAGCCAGTTTAAGCAAAGATATACGGACGATAGAAATTTGATGAATTACTTTATTCAAATCCCCCTAAAATATTTGTATCGTCTCTCTCTTATTAGGCACGATTTTTTTTTTAAATACTGTTTTTTTTTTTCCTTTTACACTCAACATGTTGTATTTAAACACCAATAATATATTAAGTTTATATTTATTTTGAGCTTTGAATCTGCGTTTAATTTAGGGTTCCTCCTATGAAACCCAGTATCTTTTTAAAAAATCAACCGTAAATTGTCCGTGCCTGATGAGTTTGTAGGACCATGAAACTTTAAGTTGCACTTCAAACGTAGGTATATGTGTATTTATTAATATATACTTCTTACCTATGTCTAACCACATTGAGCACTGTTTTGCTTACACCTTATATTAAATAAATATTTATTCGCTTACATGTGTGTGCACGCTAACGCGCGTATATACAGCTGCTAATATCTAATTATTTGGTTTATATCCATATATATATATATATATATATATGTGTGTGTGAAGAAATATAGTTTTAAGGTATGCTATATTTATGGGATAAAGTGCTCAATATCAGAGACAGAGCGTATGTAAATATAAAAGTGAACAATGAAATCAACACTCAGAGGCGACAGTCTGTTTTATGTTAGACGCAATCGTCAGGCCGTTTCCATCTTGCATGAAATAGACTGTCGCTTTTGAGCGTTGATTTCAATGTTCACTTATATATATATATATATATATATATATATATATATATATATATATATATATATATATCGAGCAAGTGGTATTAAAGACTACGGGACGTTCCCGTTCAATAATCTTTCTTTCTTGCAATTTTCTTTGTATTTGGGTTTAATTTATTGAAAAAAGACCCCAGTTCTTGGTGTGTTGCCGAACGCTTTCGGTTGTCGTCAACTGTCATCATGGCTGTATGTTTTTGTTTTTTTTCAACAACTTAGACCCAAATACAAAGAAACTTGCGAAAAAGCAAGAACAAATCGAAATGAATATTATTAAACAGTAAAGTTCCGTAGTCCTCAATAACACATGCCTCAGTAATATACATATTTCAATATTTCGGTCTCGCACGTTGTACGACGTCATAGAATCGTATCATTAATATACGACTTGCGTCCGCTATTCCGCGACCGTTATCATCGCAATCTTTTATGTCAACATAACAGAATATCATTTTTGATTATGGATATCTTTGTTTAAATATCCGTATAAGATGGCTCATGTGATCCGAAAGCTTAGATCAAGGGACAGCATAATAAAAAATATCCAAATTTTGGACAATTTTTGTCCATATTTTCACCAGAAATTAAAGCAACAATATGAAGTTTAGAACGGCTTACGATCAGACATAATAGACATTCACTGTCTGTTATATTTAACACGATATATATATATATATATATGTTTATATATATATATATATATATATATATATATATATATATATATATATGTGTGTGTGTGTGTGTGTGTGTGTGTGTGTGTGTGTCAAAAGTAACACTTTTTATTAATTTTTGCTGAAGAAAAATAAATTAAAATCGTTTAAAAAACGTATTGCCACATTTAAATAACATGACTTGCTATGATTAATAAACTATTTAAAATGTTCCAAATGACCCGTTCATGTTGAATACAACGCTGAATCCTGTCAGTAACAATTCTACAAACAATTGCTCACATTTCTACATTTATTCAGAAATTGATCGCTTTTATTCAGGAAGTCTTTTCAGTTTGAGCCAGTAAACAATATCTTTCTCTACCGTTTCACATACAACACACTAAAGAAAAACTCTTGTGGTGTCATGGCTGCTAGTCATGATGGGCCAATCAATTGGTCCACGTTGTCATATCTACCTGAGATCGATCAAAGAGGAATTATATATATATATATATATATATATATATATATATATATATATATAGAGAGAGAGAGAGAGAGATAGTCAAGCAGGGAGATAGGAATAGAATAGGGTGATAGATAGATAGATAGATAGATGAATAGATAGATAGTCAGGCAGTCAGACATATAGGAATAGAATAGGTGTGATAGATAGATAGATAGATAGATAGATAGATATGAATAGTCAGGCAGGCATATAGGAATAGAATAGGAGTGACTGATAGATAGATAGATAGATAGATAGATAGATAGATAGATAGATAGATAGATAGATAGGCAGTCAGGCATATAGAAATAGAATAGGTGTGATGATAGATAGATAGATAGATAGATAGATGAATGAATAGATAGAATAGTCAGGCATGCATATAGGAATAGAATAGGAGTGACTGACAGATAGATAGATAGATAGATAGATAGATAGATAGATAGATAGATAGATAGGTAAATAGATAGATAGGGACAGAGTGATATAAAAAAACTGTACGTCGCATTTAACTTGGCGAATGCGCGCAGTTATGTTTCATAAGTATGCACGCACACACCTATGACCATTTGCAAATGTATGGATGCCCATGTATATTTCGGTTTAACAGATTCCTATAAGCTATTGTTTAGCACCCCCATTCATTCACAATAGAAACAGACCTCATAAAATTGTAGCTTGTCTGTTAGGAGCATTTCTCATCCGCAATACAATAGTAAACAAAAGCAAGCAAGCCAATTTGTTGCTATTTCACACAATTTCCCACCAGTCAGAAAGTTTCGTTACTCCATTAAACCTTTTTCTTAGGATTATTTTCGTGACAAGACTCACAAGATGACCGCAACCTAATCCATAAACGAAGTTGTACATCTTCAATCTATGCCACCGGCCTTACTGCTTTTATAACTTCCAGGAGAGAGACTCGTTTTGTCATTTTCGGCTTAACATTCTCAGCTGACATGAAGTGGGAAGACTATATTGAATACACTACAAGGTCAGCTGGTAAGAAAGTTGGCTCACTGTGTTGTGCTAGACAATTTTTCTCTCCAGAATCTATCTTATATATATATATATATATATATATATATATATATATATATATATATATATATATATATTAACGCGATTTTTTGTCATAATAGGCTTTTTGTTATTTCTCTGTCTCTGTCTCTGTCTCTGTCTCTCTCTCTCTCTCTCTCTCTCTCTCTCTCTCTCTCTTCTTTCAGGTTGCGGTGGATAAATTGTCGTCTAACTGACGCCAAAATGAAAGTAATACTGACATCTCATTTTAACAGATATATTTGCCAAAATTACACAAAAATATCTTGAAATACTAAAGAGTAAATCTATTCAATAAAATCACCATTAGCTTCTACCACGGCCTCCAGATGACTCCGAATCTCCAGCAAATCTTCTGGACGGTCTCTGCCATAATCCTTGCCCTAAATTCATCTTTGGTGTTACAAGGAGTTTTATTGGTTTCACTCAACTGAGCCCCACACATAATAATCAAGGGGGTTGCAGTCTGGGGAGTTAGGTGGCCAAATGTAAGGGATGTTGTGGTGGGAGAAAGGAGGACGCATATTTTCTATGAAAATTTCTCGGACATTCAAGCCGGTAAATGTTGTTAATACTGTTTATTATGAACAGAGCATTTACTTAAATATTTGTAGCTATAAAAAGAACGTATAAACATTAAAATAAAAAGTCTTAAAATCTATCTATCCATATATCTATCTATATATCTATATCTATCTATCTATCTATCTATCTATATATATATATATATATAGATAGATAGATAAATAGATAGATAGATAGATAGATAGATAGATAGATAGAAGTCTCTACCATTCGACCATGCTTCGAATATTGATGCCATATATAGTCCGGTTCCCCTGCTATTTAGCTTGAGCTCCTAGATAAAAGAAGGATCAGCAATATTATTTGTTCTGATCTGGTGGCTCGGCTCCATTCCCTTTCCCATCCACATAAGGTTGCCTCTCTGTGTCTTTTCTATAAATACTTTCATGGTAATTGTTCAGATGAGCTTTTCGTTATGGTACCTAGACTTTTCGAATTTAAAAACAATTTGGAAGAGCAAGGATTAGGAGAGATGGCAAAAAGAGAAATTTACTAAGATCTACAAAGGATAAGAAATTGTGGAGAGTCATGTTCGCCCATGTCCTGAATGGACTCCGCACATAGAAGAAGAGGAAAAATGAGGAAATATATGTGTGTGTATGTGTGTGTGTGTGATCAAACTGATAAATATACGTAAATGTACGATCAAGTTCGTTTACAAATCGTATATATATATATATATATATATATATATATATATATATACACACACACACACATATATATATATATATATATATATATATATATATATCGTAAGGTCGATTTTCGATCCGGCTTAAAGCAATCAGATGTCTAGCCACACTGATGAGCTGTGATACAGCCAAACACGCTTGTATATGGATGACTATTTATGCTCTCGTTCACCGATTAAGCACTATAGAGAAAAGACATTTTCAAAACAGTGAGAGGTCCTGCTAATGACGCATCGCTATTCACTTATGAATTAAGCGCTCTTGGCTACTGACTTAGCGTTTGTATACATCACGTATATAACACGTTAAAAGATTCCCTTTCTCTGTCGTGATCCGATGGCTTAGGGGTTGAGTCGACTGATGCCAAATCGGTCGACTTTCAGTCCCGGTTTGAAGTCATCGGAAGTCTAGCCACAATGATGTGCTGTGATACAGCAAAACAGGCTTGTATGTGGATGACTATATATATATATATATATATATATATATATATATATATATATATATATATATAATAATAGTAGTAAATGAATGATTATCTACGTATGCTTGTTATATGTAGATGTAGTAGGCCGATGGAATACAATATATAAAACAGAAGCAGTAATAATAATAATAATAATAATAATAATAATAATAATCATAATAATAATAATAATATTAATAATAATAATAATATTAATAATAATAATAATAATATTAATAATAATAATATTAATAATAATAATAATCAAAATAATAATATTTACTCTATATTATTAGGTCTTTAGACCATAATAGAAGCATGATGAGAAAAGATATTAAAGATCTGCATTTTTAGATAAGACTGCGTCCTTTCTGAAAAAGAAATAAAATCAAGTTAGATATTTTGAGGATGGAGGTACGCATGTGTTATATTCCTGATGAAAACTAGTAGTTTTGGGTTATTTGGTTACCACGATTAGTTTCGTACGCCTAAATTCCTGTTTAAATCTAGAATGTGTGAATTTGTTTTAAAATATGCAATAAATATTATTATTATTATTATTATTATTATTATAGTTTTTTATCATCATTTTCTTTCATCGGCCTACTATATATATATAAATATATATATATATATATATATATATATATTATACTAATGGTATTACTTGGTAAAAAAACCCGGATAGCACAACTTGCAAGTATATCAAAACAATTTGGTACCCGAGGAAGAAATTTTGAAAAAAATGAATTAGAAACAACCGAACAGTGAGAAACAAATCGTCCAGTGTCTTAAGTGTTTAGTGACAGACTACCCTGAAGATCCGTTTAGGTGAAACCTGGGTAGGTTGTTCCTGGCTCTTTAGGATTTATTTTACATATATATATATATATATATATATATATGTGTGTGTGTGTGTGTGTGTGTTTCCGTGCGAATGTGTGTGTGTTTGGTTTAATAATCTTGTAATATTATGTCTATTTACTTTTTATTTTAATTCTCAAAAATTTCACGAAAAATTTACCACTATGTACAGACATTAAAAATTTGATTCGTGAACTTGGTGTGTAAATGTTACGTGATGCAGCTAAACATAACAGTATGTAATTGATTATGGCACCCCAGTCCGGACGTTTATAGAATTCTAACCAATTTCCCGCCCTTTTTTTCCCACTTTGCTTATTATCTCATGTTGTGTTTCCTCTATGGCAATATTCAGATCAATTTCTATGTTTGGAAATAGTCCGTTTCTATTTTTTTTTAAATGTCGCACATTTTCTATCCTTTTTAAGTGTCATGTCTCTTCAAGAAGTAAACGAGGATGGCTCTTTGTATATTTTTAAAATATCTCCAAACTGTGGATAATCCATAAATTTCCGATATTCCAACCACCCACTGCTCGAACAATAGCTAATTGATAAATAAATTCTCCCGTTTATAACATAAATTTTGAGACCTAGCAGATTAATAAAAGTGATATCAATGAAGTGAATTTATTTTTCTTCAAAATTACGTGTCTTCAATTTTATTTAACAGTTTTTAGTGTATACAGGATAATGAAATGTTATTAGAATGTAGTAAATATATTTCCTTTTAAATTTATAAATTTATTATACAACATTTTCTATATTTGCTTCTACAACATTTTTTCAACGTTTTATCCACATTTTCAATCTATCCATAGAAAAGCTCTGGTTTATTTTGAACAAATCGCGTTCAGCAACTTTAGCTTTGGCATCAGACGATCTTTGACGGATTCTCTCAATTTATGGAACAACCAAGATACTGTTCCTTCTAATTCCAGGAAGTATGGATTTCAGGATTCTCACCGCTTTCGCCATTTATAGACAGCAACGATTTCTTGATTAATCATGATGCAAAGAAACGCTTCTCTGTTTCGTTCTTCTCATGCGTTGTTTGAGTTCACTTAAGGTTTCAATGTTTTCTTACGTTCTATGGATTTTGGTTGATTCCCAAATTTTCATTCCGGATTGTCTTTTTGTTTGTGAAGTTATTAAGGAACGACGGTTCCATAATTTATTGTCCCTACAGGAATATATGCACTTGGATGAGAATCACACACGTTCTTAGTTTAATTCTATACTTTTAAAGTCTCCACCTAAACTCCGAAATCTATACCCTTTTTTTCTTTGACTTATCTTTTTTTTTTTTTTCGCAATTTTCTCTGGATTATTTTTTCTCGTTTTTTCTCACATTTCTTTCTTCAAAAAGCATAAATAGTTTCGTTTATCGCCCTGTTCACACTCTATTGAACAGGAGTAGAGGTTTATCCTTTGTTTCCTGTTTAGGATTGAATTTCCGGTTTCTTATAAAACTTTTTCATTCTCTTTCACTACCAGTAAACTCCTTGCTTCTTATTGGCATTATCGCCTTGATTGGGATGAATTGTTAAAAATAAACTGTTAAGAGAGAAAGTGAGAAAACAATGTTTTGCAACTGAAAACTTGCTCTATCCAGCGATGTCATTTTGCTTCGTGTATCTGTTATACATTTCCTGGAAGTAAATAAAAGGCTTTACTTTCAGAATACCTTTAGTATTCAAATACAAAAGGAATTCCTTCCTTTAGCTCACAATATAAACTCTTTGCTATGGTACCTAGATTTTATAAATTTAAGCACGATAGTAGATTGGATGTAAGGTCTCATCAATTCACAGTTAAATTGGCTAGATGTAACCGTAAGTTCTATGCTAACAATTTCTTTTCTCTTACTTCTCGTTTGTGAAACTCTCTTCCGGCTCCATGCTTTCCGGCCAACTTTGATCTTCAAAAATGTAAATGCAATGTCAATTGTTATCTACTGTCTTCCTGATTACTTTTCTATTATCCTCGTTCTTCCGTAATGTTTCTTTTCTTTTCTTGTTCTTCCACACCCAGTGACACCTTGTGTCTTAGTGGCCTTACTGCATTGCTTGGGTTGATTTGGTTAAGATTAAAATCAATAGCAAAATATTAACTTAAAATGGAGTCATGTTCTTAAATAGTCACCTCAAATCAAGATCCTAATATGGAAGACATGAATGATGCCCAAATCTTCTAGAATGAAGGATCTGTTGAATAAAACAGTTAGCTCAGATTAATCCAAAATGGCGTCAAGTGAATGAATACTTCAGATTTTAAGCAAGATTATGGGATAGACCGGTTGCTACAGAATCACAAATGGAAAGATTTAGCAAATAACAATATTATTTGAACAATTTCAAAAATAGAAATATCAAAAATGATTTTTAAAAAATAGGTTTCTAACTAGAAAAGAAAATAATGAAGTTAAATTTTCCGTTATCTTAAACAGATTTGAAAGAAAAATCCCATCATTGCTACAAAGATCTGCATAAATTAGTGAACTTGAGAAGTTTAATTTAGAAATTAAAATTCTATTAAGAAAAGTATTTTATAAATAAAGTAGCGCTAACTGTTTGGCCAATGAATTGCGAATGTTTCCTTATAAAGAAACGGTTATTTTTTACTATTTCCATTAATTGCTGTAATTAATAATCACTGAAAATTGTTTTTTCTCATTTGTAATTTCTATAGTAGAATCATTTACAACGCTTTTCTATATTAGAATTATTTGCAATTCATTTCTATAATAAATGTTTATCTATTATAAATATAATAGCGTTATTCTGTTAGTAACGCTTCTCTTTCTATAGTAGACTAATTTTCCATGTAATTGTATAATAAATGTTTATCTATTATGTATATAATAGCCATATTCTGGCTGCAATACTTGCTGCAATTTCTAATAACTCGAAACTATCACTCTGCAAAAATAAAATAAGATAAAAATAACTTCGGTAATCTACAAGTAACTAATTTAATAAAAGACATATCTAATATCAGAACGAATATTTTGTTGAGAGTGAGACGTCAATCATCACAGCCCAAAGGATGGAGGCTGGGGAATGATTACCACCCAACAAAAACTATCTCCGTCTCCCCACTACCCTCACAAGAATACGTCATCCCCTGCCTCAGTCTACTCTACCTCCCCTAAACTGAGAGGAGGAAAAATAATGAGTGCAGTATGTGGCGTGTCGATGTGGCAATCTGAGATTTAAACAGCTTATAAAGATTTACAGCATTGCACATATGCTATATTGATACTTTTACTTAAGGTGTTAGTATATTACTCATGGGATGACATGAGGCATTCACCCATTCCTCGTATAGAAGGCAGTAACGTTAGCCTTTCACTAGAGATTTGTTGGAATTAGTTTAAAAAATAATAATGAAGTATTTAAAAATCGTCAGTGTCCTAACTGCAATCAGGTTTCTCTGCGGTTTGTAACGCCACTAATGAGTGAAGCCTCTGAGGCTTATCACATGCTCCTTAACATGTATCACTTTGTAGGTGGTTTAATTTGCCAAGCTTAAAGGTTGCCACATCAATAGTGTTGTCGTGTGCTGGAGAAGGATCGGAGCTGTGCCGAAAACATTTTTAAACATCATTAATTAACTTATTTTCGAAAGACGTGTAAAGCACAATAAGTATACATATAAAAGTTAAAACCATTTTAAATCCATTATACGAGTATATCATTCTTAAATAAACAGATACATGTTATACATAAAGTACTGTGTATGTGTGTTTGTACGTGTATGTGTCCTCCGCTCCCTCCGCTCCCACTGCTCAATGATTCATAGATCATTGAAAAGCCCTAGAAAACTTAGGCGCAGGTAACGATTTTCATTGAGTTCAGAATCAGGGTTGCCAGATTATGCGATGTTAAAAATATGTATTAATATATTATACTAGCCATTATCGTCGCTTTCATTGTTCAAGGGGAGTAACTCTTATTTTCCTTTTTCTATTCAAAATTGCAATTAGCTTAAAATATCGTCTTATATACTGCAGAAAAGTGCTTGACATTTGCATTTTACTTGGCCTTCGACAAGTTGGCATCTATAAATAAATAAACTGATAATATATAAAGTGGGTGTCGTGTGCAAAATGGGATCACGTGACACGTCCATAGAAGATTGGATTTGCTGATATATACCAATATGTTGAAATTATCTAAAGCTGATTTCAGCAATGGCTCATCAATCTCTCATTGTAGTGACAATGTGTTGCTCGTAGTGAACATTTCTTTTAATTTTCTTACATAGTCTTCAATTAAATTGAACAAGTTTTTAATTAAGAAGCAAAAATAAAACCGTTCTCAACGTCATATCTGTGTGAAGCAAACCTTTTCTGCAATAAACAATACTAAAAACAAAAATCGATTTTTGATTAGAATCCTTACAAGATTTAAGAATATGCCTGTCCAAAACCAAACTTTACAAAGAAGATATTCAAATAAACCGTCACATCTCAATAAAAGTTAAATTATAATAAACGGAAAAATAAGTATTAAGTTTTTTTGTTTTTTTTTTTTAAAGAAATCTAATTCTTATCTTTTTTATGACAAATTATAGTAAATTGCTTCCTTTCTGTTAATAAATAAATCAAAAAAAGTAGACTTTTTTCATTATCATAATTTAAGAGTATCATTGGGGTTTAACTACAGGTTCAAGTGAGCCGTGAGATAAAAAAAAAGGTTTAAAACTTTGAGCCCTGACCACCGCTTTACCGGTGGTAGAGAAAAATGACATAATGCCCAGTCATTGGTTGAACAGTAGTAAAGAAGAATGACTTAATGCCCAGCCAGCGGTTAAACAGTGGTAAAGAAAAATGACTTAATGCCCAGCCAGCGGTTAAACAGTGGTAAAGAAAAATGACTTAATGCCCAGCCAGCGGTTAAACAGTGGTAAAGAAAAATGACTTAATGCCCAGCCAGCGGTTAAACAGTGGTAAAGAAAAATGACTTAATGCCCAGCCTTCGATTAAACAGTGGTTGAGAAAAATGACTTAATGCCCAGCCAGCGGTTAAACAGTGGTAAAGAAAAATTACTTAATTCCCAGCCAGCGGATGAGCGGTGGTTAAATACTTGTAACTGTTTTTTTATGCATCCACTGTGAAGCATTACCTACCAATTATTTGTGATTTTTGATTCAGGAACTCAGGCAGAATGGCTAAAATTATTTATGAACGTAGATCTCAAAGGGTTAATTATACAATTAAAATAAAAATCTATTAACCTTTTGAGCCCTGACCACTGATTTACCGGTGGTAGAGAAAAACGACGTAATACCCAGCCCCTGATTGGATAGTGGTAGAGAAAAATTATTTAATGCCCAGCTACCGATTGAAGCATTATAGACTAATTATTTTCGAATTTTGACAATTGAGCTCAGGTAGAAGGGTTAAAATTGTTCAGGAAAGCAAGGCTGAAATGGTTAAAACATTGTGCTACCATGTAAAACAATCTTAGGTGGAATAGATTATAGGGCTTGAAAAAAAGTAAAATAAAAATAGTAATACTGCGAAAGTGGCAGTAATACACATGAATTATGCCGAGTGCTAAAGGCTAATTTGGGCTCGTTCGTAATAATAAAACAAGGATATTAAGTGCGTGTAAAATAAATTTAAAAAGAATAATTAAAATACAGCATTTGAAGACCAATATCTATGAAAATATTCTGTCGTAGAATTTCCCCTTTTTTTAAATTTGTACGACTCACACAAGGAACTGACCAGATGGCTTGAATCGTATCAAATACCGATGATGAACCTTTGTTCAAGGAGAGATTGGTCTGTAATGGCCCCAGTATGTATTGGGCACACTTCAGATGAGACCAGAATAGACTTAGCACTCAGTGTCACGCCAAAGCCTCAGAGAAATTAATCGGTGGACGTGGTAGGTGTCCTCCTCGCCACTAGGTGGAGATTTGCTCGATTACTGACTGTCCCCGACACGTAAACAACTAGTCGAACCAGTTGTAACTGGGATGTACTAACGTTGGACA